CATTATTACCCAGAGCAGTCTACAGATCAGTGCAGTCTCTCTCAAAATCTCAGTGGTCCCCTTCCCCAGTCCCTGGCAGTCATCATTCTATTCTCTGAATCTATGAGTTTGACTATTTTATATATAAGTGAAATCATGAAGATGTTATGTTGTTCAATGGGTATAAAGTTTCAGTTATATAAGATAAGTAAGTTCTAGAGATCTGCTGTACAATATTGCCTATAGTTAATAATACTGTATTGTGCACTTACTATTTTGTTAAAAGGAAAGGTTTCATGTTACTTATTCTTACCAAAAAAAGGAAAAGAGAAGCACAGGGAAGGTTTTGGAGGCATTGGATATATCTGTTACCCTGATTATGGTGATGGTTTCCTGGATGTATACATATATTCAAACTCATCAAATTGTATACATTAAATATGTGCAACGTTTTGTATGTCAATTATACCTCAATAAAATCGTTTAAAGATACAAGTGATATTTTTTGCAGAAATATTTAAAACAGTTCTAAAATTTATATGGAATTGTAAAGGCCCTGGAATAGCCAAAACTATCTTAAGAACAAAACTGAAGACATCATACTTTCTGACTTTAAAACATATTACAGAGCTATAGCAACAAAACAGCATGGTACTAACATAAAACCAAACATAAAGATCCATGGAACAGAATAGAGATCCCAGAAATAAATTCTTGCCCATATGGGCAATTGCTCTTCAACATGGGTTTACAATGCAGAAAGGATAATCTCTTCAAAAAATAGTGTTGGGCTCTGTCTGGTATGGCTTAATGGTTAGAGTGTCAGCCCACACACTTAAGAGTCATGGGTTTGATTCTCGGTGAAAGGCACATACCTGGGTTACAGATTCTATCATCAGCATGGGTCGGGGTGCATGCAGGAGGCAGCCAATCTATGTGTCTCTCTCACATCCATGTTTCCCTTTCTCTCCACCTCTCTGCCCCCCGCCCCTACTCTCCCTCCCATCCTTCCTTCCTTTCCACTGTCCCTAAAAAAGCAATGGAAAAAATATCTTCAGGTGAGGATTAACAACAACAACAAAAAATGGTGCTGGGGAAACTGGATATCTACATGCAAAAGAAATATTAGACTGTTATGTTATACTATATAACAAAAATAATTTAAAAAGGATTAAAGCCCTAAATATAAGACCTGAAAAAAAGCATCATGACGCTGGATTTGGTAGTGATTTCATGGACGTGGTACCAGAAGCACAGCAAAAATAAATAAATAAACAAATGGGACTGCATCAAACTTAAAATAACTTCTGCACACCAAAGGAAACAGTCAACACAGTGAAATGCAGACTACAGAATGGAAAAACTATTTGCAAATACATCTGATAAGGGGTTAATATCCAGAATATATAAAGAACTCTTGTGATTAACAACAATAAAAAACAAATAACCTCATTTAAAAATGGGCAAAGGACTTGAATAGACATTTCTCCAAAAAAGATAAAATGTCTAACAAGCATATGAAAAGATGTTCAACATCACTATATAAGTAGGGGAATACATATCAAAACCATAATGAAATATTACCTCACACTCATAGGATGGCTTTTTTTGTTGTTGTTGTTTTGTTTTTTTAAGCAGAAAACAACTGTTGGTGAGGAGGTGGAGAAATTGGAACACTTGTGCACTGTTTATGGTAACATAAAATGGTACAGCCACTATGGAAAATAGTATGGAATATTCCTCAATAAATTAAAAATAGAACCAGCAAAGCCACTTCTGGGTGTATATCCAAAAGAATTGAAAACAGAAACTCAAAGACATATTCAAATTATCATGTCCATTGCAGCATTATTCACTATAACCAAGAGGTGGAAGCAACCTAAAAATTCCATCAGTGGGTGAATTGGTAAAGGAAATATAGTATATACATACAATGGAATATTATTTAGCCTTTACAAAAATGAAGTTCTGTTACATGCAATAACATGGACAACCCTTGAGGACATTATGCTAAGTGAAATAATCCAGTCACAAAAAGATAAATACTGGGTGATTGCATTTATATGAGGTATCTAAAGTGGTCAAACTCAGAAAATGGTGGTTGCCAGAGGTTGTGGGGAGGGTAAAATAGGGAATTGTTTTGAGGGTGTTGAGTTTCAGTAATGCGGGATTGGGGTTGGGGGTATCTGGAGATTTATTGCACAACATTGTGCAAGTGGTTTGACAGTATTGTACTGTACACTTGGAATTGCTGGGAGGATGAATTTTATGTTGTGTGTTTTTTTGCCACAAAAAGAAAAAGCTGGACCTTTCAGCCGGAACTGCCATCTTCCAGTAATTTGCCAAAAATGACTAACACAAAGGAAGAGAGTAGAAGCACCCTCTATATGATCTCTTCTTACCTTTGTTATCTTGAAATCTATTTTGTCAGATATAAGTATGGCTATACCTGCTTATCTTGGATGTTATTTGCTTGGAGAATCATTTTCCACACTTTCACTTTGAATCTACCTTTGTCTTTGCAGCTTAAACGTGTCTCCTGAAGGCAGCATATGGTTGGGTTTTGTTTTTCATCCAATCTGCTACTCTCTTGGTATATTCAGTCCATTTACATTTAGGGTAATTGTTGATGTATGAGAATTTCCTGTAGCCGTTTATCCCTTGTTTTCTGGTAGCTTTGTGCTTCCATTGGTTCTTTTCCTTTATGTTTCCATCTGTTGTTTTTGTTTTGATGGTATTCCATATTTCTTTCCTCTGTTTCCTCTTTTATTTAAGCTATGTGTCTCAGTTTTGGGGTTTTTGTATAGTTACGATTAGGTTTATGAAAAAGAAAATTTCATATATACAGTATTTTTCTTTTGAATGCATCCAATCTTCATCCTCCTTTGCAAATTCACCACCTCCCCTTTTATGTTTTTGTTATCACTAATTATTCCTGTTTATGCTGTAAGTTTTTTTGGTGATCTTACTTGTGGCGTTGTGACCTTTTGTTCTTTGTTTCAGGTAGAATAAACCCCCTTGAGTATTTCCTGCAGTGGAGGTCTTCTGGTGATAAATTTCCTCAGTTTCTATATGTCTGGAAAAGTCTCTATTTCTCCTTCATATTTAAAGGATAACTTTGCTGGATATATTATTCTTGACTGGTAATTTCTCTCTTTCAGTAGTTCAGATACTTGGTTCTACCCTCTTGTGGCTTGTAGAGTTTATGCTGATGATAACCTGATGGGTTTTCCTTTATAGGTCACTTCCTTCTTTTCCCTTGCATTTTTAAAAATTCTTTTTTTTTGTCATTAATTTTTGACAGTTTTAATGTAATGTGTCTTGGAGAAGGTTCTTTGGATTGAGGTAACTAGGTGTTCTGATTGCTTCTTGCATTTGAGGATCTAGTTCTTTCCATAGGTTTGGAAGTTCTCATCCACTGTTTGTTTGATAAGGCTCTCCATTCCTTTCTCCCTGTCTTCTTCTGCTGGTATGCCCATTATTTGCTTTTTCTGATGGAGTCAGATAGCTCTTGTAGAGCTCTTTCTTTTTTTCTTTCTCTATTTTTTTTTTTTTTTTTTTTTTAATGTTCAGGTCTTTCTTCTTCCCTCTGCATCATTTCTAGATTCCTATCTTCGATATCACTAATTCTTTCCTCCATGTGGTCAGCTCTATTTCCTGTACTTGCTACTTCATTCTTGATCTCTTTTATTGAATTCTTCATCTCCAGGATTTCTGTTTGGTTCTTTTTAAAGTTTCAGTCTCTTTGGTAAAGTACTCGTTTAGTTTATTAATTTGTTTTCTGAGTGCATTAAATTGACTTGTCTGTATTTTCTCACATCTGGTTGAGTATTTTCAGAACTGCAATCTTGAATTCTCTGTCTTTTATATCACATATTTCTATGTATTTCAGTTTGCTTTCTGGAGATTTTTTATCTTCTTTCTAAGCTGCCCCACTACCTTATTTGTGGTATATGATTGGTTCCTTCTCTGTCTAGTTACCTATGTATTGGTGGCATTTCTCTAGCGAATTACTACAACTAGAGGTCTTTCTATTATTTTCCAGTAGGTGGCACTGAATCACAGGGGTCTTTTTTTTTTAGCTCTGAAATCCCAAAGCTGACCTCCTTGCTATCAGTATAGCCTGATGCTTAGGGGTGGGGGTTTTTTGCCCTCTTGGTAATGGCAACCTCAGAATTCCACAGGGTACTCCCAACACCACATGACCCAACCAGGGATCAGTCACAGAGTATAATGTTTTTTTGGTAAATAGTGATTCTGTAGTAATAGTTCTTGGGTTTGCAGATAATGTGCTCCACAACCTGACACAAAGGGCCACAGGAGGTAAGTTTTGAGAATCTGTGGGGTGGCAGGGCTCTGTGTGTTTCTTTGTTTGAAATGCCAACTGCCCACAGCCGTGGCAGAACCACTGTGCTATGTCCTTGCCCAAGTCTCTCGGCTCAGCTGCAGTTCAAAATGCTCACTCCTGCAGGAGTGCCTACCAAGTCTCTCTGCTCCTCCTGGCTAAAGGAAGTGCCAGATATAGTCTGCTTCTTCCCCTCTCTGGGCTGAGCCCACTGTGAGCTCCTGGCTGCAGGGCTGCATCCATGGCCAGTCTGAGCTCTCCTCCCTTCTCACCTCTCCTGTTTGTTCCCATTTACCACCTTTAGATGCTTCAATGTGCAGATCTCAGGTGTGCCCTTATGCTGAGCAGAGAATCCTTTGTTAAATTTTAGCTGTGCAACCTGTTGAAATTTCAGAGAGAGAGAGACCAAGGGGATCTCTCATACCACCATTCCTCTGCCATCCAACTTTAACTTTTTATTGAAATTTACTATGCATATTGAAAAGCATACAGTAAGTATGTTTGTGAGAAAATTTGAATTCAACGAAGTGTTAAATTTTAAGTGCATTGTTCAGTATTCTAAAATAGGGAGTCTGTTCAACTGGCAGCATATTCTACAGAAAGGAAAAAAATTCTGCAGGCATTTTAGTGGGGTTTTTTCTATGTTTAATTTAGTTTTGTTTTTTTTCCTTTTCAGGATGTGGTGGATACACACCCTGGCCTCACGTTCCTGAAAGATGCCCCAGAATTCCACTCCCGCTATATCACCACGGTAAGCTGAGTCCTCTTTTGTCTTACTATACCTCTGTAAGTCTCCTTTTTATCACTAGTATCCAGGCTTTCAAATTTTTATGCAAAAGGTAACATGGGCTATAATGATTGTTTTAAGTGGAAGGAAGGTGCAGTAAAGTTGAGCTGTTTATATCGATTTCCCTTCTTATATGTACCCAATGCTTAAGAGGCCTCTTGTATACAAAATTAAAATAATATATTCATTTTGTCTGGTTTTATTAAGTTTGCCTTTTACCATATCATAAATATAGATACCCATACATTTTTATCTTTAGCATTTGTATTTAATACTGAAAAGAATTTTCACGTCTTTGCCAGAAAAATATGTGTCTGTAGTACCTCAAAATTAGAAGTGGACTTGGTATTAAGAAGTAGTTTGTGTATAATCTGAAAACAAATCATCTAAGAATTATAATAACATGATCACAATCTCCTTTGTTGTGAGATGTTTTCTCAGTTCGTTCGTCATGTACAGCCTCATTTGATCAGTCACAGGCAGGAAATGAAGTATGAGTAAGAGCACACAGGCCTGCTGCACACAGCAGCCATGGCAGGCATTCTCTGTCCTGGCTCCCGGGTTATCTTTGGAGGAATGCCAAAGGTGAGCCCACGCACACTTCACATTCACGGCCACACTCAAGTGAGATGGCCCTCACTCTGGCTCAGATCCCCCACTAAATAGGACAGCCTCCTCTGAGGAAGACCCTCTCATCCTTAGGGTACTTTTATTGGCTATGGACTGTTGAGTTCTCTTGAGTTACAGAAAACTGCTGGTGTTTTCCCTCCTATAGGAACTTCATTCTTGGCTTTTACACTGGTTTTCATCTGTCATAAAACTTTGTGAGACTTTAAGCCAGAAGGTGTCACTGTATCTAAGACTGTCTCAGAAGTTATTTTTGCCTGTTAACCACAACACTATACTAAATTACCTCCACTAAAATCACCTGGGCCCAGTCACCCTTTTTTCTCACTTGGATTACTTATTAGTCTCTCTGCTTACACCCTCATTGCCCTACAGTCTAATCTCCACAAAGCAGAGTTATCCTTTGAAAATGTAAGTCAGATCATGTCACTCTTCTGCTCAGACCTTCCAGTGGTTTCCCATCTCACTCAGAATGAAAGCCAGCATCCTTACCAAGTCTCACCATAATCCCCCCCAGACATCCTCACCTCCCCTGCCCACTGATCTTACCTCATACCACCCTGCCCCTCGCTCATTCTGCTTCAGCCACAATGGCCTCCTCACTGTTTCTGGAACATACTAAACCCAACTTCTGCCTCAGGTGTTTTGTTCTTAATTTTTCCTCTGCCTGGAACGCTCTTCCTACAGATTTCCACATGACTCACTCCCTCACTTCATCCAGATATGTGCTCAGATATTTCTTTGTTAGTGAGGCCTTCCCTCATCACCCCCTGCCTTCCGCACCCTTCTTCTCCCTCTTCCCCCTCCCTCTACACTCTCTATTCCTTTATTCTGCTTCATTTTTCTTTTTAGTTTTATATCATCTGATATGTAATTTTTTCATTTGTTCATTATCCATTTCCTTGTCTGTAATATAAACTCCAAGAGAGCAGGGACTTCTTTATATTTTCACTGCTTTATCTTCAATATTTAGAATAGTGCCTGGCAAATAATAGATGCACAGTAAATATTTATTGAGTGAAATTATTCATGCTTAAGAATTCTACACATGTCTGGCCAGTGTGGCTCAGTGGTTGAGCATCGACCCATGCACCAAGAGGTTGCCAGTTTGATTCCCAGTCAGGACACACGCCCAGATTGTGGGCCCAATCCCCAGTGGAGGGCATGCAGGAGGCAGCCAATCAATGTTCTCTCTCATTGATGTTTCTGTCTCTCTCTTCCTCTCCCTTCCTCTCTCTCTAAAATCAATAAAGGAAAAAAAAATTCTACCCATTAACTCTGTCTCCAATCCTAAAGGGAATTATTGGGTTCTAATTGTTGACAGTTCTATAAACGTGGGGTATATTAATAGCATAATTTAGAATCTTAAGAATTGAATAAGATCTTTGAGATAATCTAGTTCAACCTTCTACCAATTCAGAAAATCTTCTATAGAGGACCTTTTATTGAAATGTATTCTTAGAAAATATGTTAAGGAACAGAATTACAAAACAGAGATACATTTCTGTCTCTATGCTTTCTAGTTTGGTATTTAAGTAAGGTCTATGGTCATCTAGCAAGTGATCCCATGCAAGTTTTATGATTTCAGAGTGAAAAGCCATGAAACAATTTTGTTCACATAGAATTCGCATTTTCTGAGAAATTCTGTTGTTAATTGTTGAACAAAAAGAACTATATCAGTCAATTAACAGGGTACAATTAATGATCTCTGCAGGATAATTCCATGGCATTTATATATTATTATTTACATTTTTTAAATTAATACTTTATTGTTAATGTTATGCTGCTTTATTCCAATTCACAAACATGAATCCATTATTCGGAGGTAGGCATTAAAGTGTAAAGTATTGATGATGAAATGAAGATAACAGAGCACCTTACATAAACAGTAAACAAGATCCATTTGAGAAGATAGAATGTGAATCTGTATGTACTGAGATAAATGTATCTGCTGTTGTGATAATTGCATACTACTATCCACAAAAGAGAAGTGCAAATAAAAAGTATCACAGTGAATATATCTGGACACAAAATTTTATTGGACTGGTTATCTTTTCAGTGCCTTTTCTATTATGAAAGTTCGTCAAATAATGGCATGAAGTCATTGAAACTTTTACATTATTTCAGAGTACAGTGAGTTTTTATAGAACAAATACGAAATAAGCTCTCTAGTATGAAAGGAATTAATTTTGTCATTAAAGGCATAAAAGTGCTCAAGTTAGAGAGGTATAATTCTCTACCCTGCTCATAGCAAAGACAGATGGGATCACACTACTTCCAGTGTATTTACAAAGATCAGCCTCAGAATTAATGACAAGTATCTCAGAAAAAGCAAAATTAATTTATCATATGACCCTATTGAATCTTATATAATTTGAGTGGTACACAGTGTAGAACAGTCAGTACAGGGTGGGGCAAAAGTAGGTTTACAGGTTGTATGTAAAATAATACAATAATTAATATATAATAATACAAGAATGCCCTGGCCAGTTTGGCTCAGCAGTTAGAGCATCGGCCTGCAGTCCAGAGAAACCCGAGTTCAGTTTCCGCTAAGGGCACGTACCTCGGTTGCAGTTTGTCCCCGACCCAACCAGAGCCGTGCGGGAGGCATCCACTCAATGTGTGCCTTTCACGTCGATGTTTCTCTCTCTGTCTCTTCCTCTCTCTCCCTCCCACTCTATCTGAATAGAAAATGGAAAAATGTCCTTGGGTGAGGATAAAAAAAAAATAATACAAGAACATGTTTTGTGTATTTACCACTGTAAACGTACTTTTGCCCCACCCTGTATATTTTGTTTGTATGCTAGAGTTATTCAGTTACTTTACTTTATGATTGGAAGAAACTGCTGACAAGAGTATGACTCAAATATTGGCTTATATATGATGAAGCAAAGTTGGGCAACTTTTACTTTCTATTTATCACTGAAAATCTATGCTATGGAAAAAGATATTGTTGTTGTTCCTTTTATAACTTAATGTACTGGGAAGATCTTTCTTTTTTCTTTTTTTAACTTACCTTTATTGTTGAATGTATTACAGATGTCCTCCCTTTTTTCCCCCATTGACCACATCCTCCCCGCACCTGCCCCCCTCCTCTGCCTTCCCCACACTATTGTCTGTGTCCATTGGTTGTGCATATATGCATATAAGTTCTTTGGTTTATCTCTTCCCAGCCATCCCCACTTCCCTTTGAAGTTCATCAGTCTAACAATCAATTTGTACTTCTTAATCCCTTCACTTTTTTTGCCCATCGCCCCTAACCCGCTCCCAGCTGGCAACCAACAAAAAGTTCTCTGTATCTATTTCTGTTTTGCTTGCTCATTTTGTTTATAGATTGGTTGGGTTGTGCGGGTGGCAACCACTCGATGTGTCCCTTTCACATTGTTTCTCTCTCTCTCTCTCTCTCTTCCTCTGTCTCCCTCCCACTCTATCTGAACAAGAAATGGAAAAATGTCCTCAGGTGAGGATTAAAAAAAAAAAAAAGATTCTCTCTTTGTCTTTAACCTTTTGCATTTTGATTATGATGTGTCTTGGTGTGGGCCTCTTTGGGTTCATCTTGTTTGGGACACTGTAGTTTCTGTATTTCTGTTTTCTTCACCAAGTTAGAGAATTTTTCTGTCATTATTTTTTCATATAGGTTTTCAATTTTTTGCTCTCTCTCTTCTCCTTCTGGCAACCCCGTGATGCACATGAAATTGTCCCAGAGACTCCTTACACTATCCTCATTTTTTGGATTCTTTTTTCTGTTCTGTTTTTTGTTTCCTTATATTCCAAATCAATGGTATGCTTCTTGGCTTCATTTACTCTACTATTGATTCCCTGTAAATTATTCTTTATTTCAGTTAATGCATCCTTCATTTCTAACTGGGCCTTTTTTATGCACTTGAGGTCCTCAGTAGGTTGCTTGAGCATCCTTATAACCAGGGTTTTGAATTCAGCATCTGTTAGATTGCTTATCTCTGTTTCGTTTAGTTCTTTTCCTTGCGTTTTGTTCTGTTTTCATTTGGGACATGTTTCTTTGTCTCCTCTTTTGGCTGCCTCCTTTTTTTGTTTCTATGTATTAGGTAGAGCGGCTATGTCTCCCAGGCTTCGTAGGGTGACCTATTGTAGGAGGTGTCCTGTAGGGTCCAGTGAGCCTCCCTGATCACCCCAGCTGGGCGCTCAAGGTGCCCTCTTGTGTGGACCATACACCCTTCTGTTGTAATTGAATCTTGATTGCTGTTGGCTTGTCAATGGAAGGCATTTACTCAGGCTGATCAGCAGCAAAGACCGGCTGTGCCCACTGACCACTCACCTCTGACCACCTTGGAGGATCAGCTGTGCAGTGGCCCACCACA